CTGCCTCCCTGCGCGACTGATTAAATTTAAATAAATTTAATAAACATAAATTATTTGCAATGGCAGCCGGGAGCCGAGAAGAGCCACCCCCAAAGAGGCGAGCATGAGCGCAATTTAATGGCGGCTCTTACCTGCCCCACCTCCGAGGGCAACCCACCACCCCCTTGTGCTCTTCATCTTCGCCCCCTGAAAAGTGCGGCTAAAAGCCACACAAAGGCGCCAGATGTTGCCCGTGAGCCTTGTCAGAACAGCGTTTAAGCGGCTTTTCTTTCAAAGTTTAATTAGTCTTCGTCGCTCCACGAATTCCGCGCATTTGCATATTCCAAGTGCTATGGGGAAAAGGGGGAAACTCGGAGAGAAAGGCCGGGGACCGCTCCCTGGGGATGGCTCATGATTTTACCCGGGAACATTGCAATTTGTGCTAAATGCTGGAAAGATCGTCTGCGCAAAACAATGGGCGCTGTGCTGCCTCCAAAAAAAAATTGTTGAGCCATCACAATATTTTTTCGGGACCCCCAGAAATACATTCCCCACTTCAATTCATTGCGAGTGTGATGGTATATCTCCTCGGGCATGTTAAATGTCTGCCGTTTGTTTATATATCTTTCAACATGCCATCCGGGAAGTTAGTTTCGAAAATTCATACAAAATATAAACAAATCAGCATAAAACATACGCACAGCCAGTGAAATTTCTTCTCTCTCTGAAAAGAAAGAAAATGAGATAAATATACGATGGCATAAATATGCGTACACATTTCTGGATGCGATACATCTACAGATATGTATCTTTGGTAAAAATTATGAAGAGAATTTCACAGAAGAGATTTAGGATGTGAAAAGTATCTAAGAATTTTACAATTACACTTTCTGATTTTTTTTTGATTCAGTTGAAATTATACTTTAAGTCCCATAAATATCCTTATCTAAAAAATTATATTTCTAATAATAATCGAATTTTTTCTTAAAGTGCCTTTTATTATTTTGTAATGTATCAAAAGTATAAAGTAAAGTTCACAAACGATTTCATTCACAAAACCCCAGTTTATCTTGACTTTCTTATCTAAAAGTTATAACCATAAAAAGTCACATTTAAATGGTCAATTCCCGGGGCCACTGAGCTAGATCAGCATTATTTAAATATGCCTCCAGACACTCCCATAAACTAAAGAGAAGCCAGCCCCACGCGGTTTCTACAAATTCCACTCAAAGCAAATACACAACGAAATTTGCGCGCCAAAAGTCAACAAACAAGCGGAAAAAGAAGGCCGGAGGCGGGAAAGTTTCTTGTTTCTATTTTTTGGTCAACAACAACGAAATCAGGAAATTTATTTGCCGGCAAACAGAATACATACGAGTATACAGCTTGACCCGGCTAGAAATTCTAAATCGAAATTCTAACTAATTGTCGGGCTGAAATAACAAGAGGAAAACGGTGCCACACAATGTTTCCAAAGTTCTTTGTCAAACGATATGTAAATTTCTTTATTATTTACCAAAACGAAACGAAACGAAAGGGAAAATGGGAGCCAAACACTAAACACGAAATACTCGTACCCGAAATGTTTGTTTATTGTACAATTTTGTGTCGCTTGATAAACAAGAATTCCAAGTCCCCGCGGAACCACTTTCGAATGCACACACAGATACGCACACACACATAGCGGCACTCTGGGGCAAACTATGGCGCTTTTTACCGCCCCCTCGTCGCCCCTACCGCAGCGTGTGTGTGTGTGTGTATCTTTATTGTACGCTTTGAATTGTTTTTATGATTTTTATGTCATCATAAGTTTCAGTCTGCGCTGTTTTTTTTCAGCGTCTCGTTTTCGTATGTTTCTGCGCTTATTTATACGCGCCGCTGTTTATTGAACAATTACGTTTATGATTATTAATATTTTTAATTGTTAATGTCATTGTTATAGACGCTGTCCCCGGTTTTGGGCCATAACCATTCCCATTTCCATAACCATTCCCAACCCATTATCATTGCCATTCTCAGTCCCATGACAGCGTCGGCGCCTTGGGATGATATTCCCCAGCTTGTTGTTTTGTCACCTCTCGGATTCTCTCTATATTCCCTCCGCCTATATGCAATAGCCCCATCGATCCATGGGCCGATTGCTCCATTTTGGCGGACAACGCCACCGCGTCTGGAATTTCCCGCGATTCGGAATACCAGAAACAGATTTCTGGCTCGCAGGTTTTATTCAGTTTTGTTTACTGGCCGCCGACGCTTCAGTCAATTGCAGCCACGATTTATGGCGCGCTAATTGATTTTTAATTGGAAAATGGTTTTCCTTAGCAATTGTGCAACGAACCGGTTCGACGGGCTAAAAAAAAATTAAAATAAAACCCCCAGACAGCCGCTTAGCGCTTGTCAAGTCTATCGAAGCGCTTTCAGCTAATTTATCGATCAGTGCGCAATCGAAAGTCATCACATTGGATTCAATTATGGAAATTTTAATAGTTTATAGCAAGACGTAATCGCAGCTTAGTGCTCATTAAAATAAAAGTAAAAGTTTATTAACAAATGTTTAGATTTATTGTTGATTTGAAACACTAAAAGTGAGTCATACCCAAGGAGAATAAATAAGTTATTTTGGGAGAATACTTTTTATAAAGTGTTATGAAGAAAGCATCTTTGCTTATAAATTGTAGTAATAAAACACAACAATTAAATTACTTAACCGGTTTTAATGAATCTCTTACATTTTTTGATACAAGGATATAAGGATTCCCGTCAACAAAAAATTTAAGATAAATTCCAAATTAATTTTTCGAAATAAATAATTACATGTAGATCCATATACAAAATATCACAATTATTATTTATAGAATTATAGAATTTTGTCGACTTAATCTTGAAAAGAATAGTGTTACGATCCGCTTAACCATTAATATTTTTCATATTTTGAATGAATTTCTCGGTGCTGGGAAAGATCATTGAACTCGAAAAGTCCCCCACAAAGTCGCTCTCTGCGAGACTCACTCGAAACCCGAATTGAAACCTTCGATTTTCCATTTTTCCCAAGCGGATTTAAGGCTTTTCGAATGGTTTTTTGAGTGGAAATGCAGCGGCGTTGGAAAATCAATAACAAAGTCTATGACTCAATGTGTTCTCCCTCTCCTTTTCGCTCGGCTCCACGTGTGAGTGCGCTCACTTGTGCACCCTCTCCCTCTCTCCTGCGCTTATACCGGTTTGCCTGCGCCGACTCACCACTTCGCTCAACTCCCCGTCCCGCTCGCTCGTGCTCAGGCGTTGCCATGCCAACGCTCTCTGGCCGCTCTCCATGGGTGTGTGTGTGTGTGCGAGTGTCTACCTGTGCGAAGGCAGACACTGCGGCAGCCATGTTGGATTCCATCACTCCGCTCCTGCGAGCGAGTGCAGCCATCCCGCTCGCACCTGCGCCCTGCGCCCCGGCGGCCATTGCGGGCGTCGTAAATCTTGTTTAGGGGCGCGTGTGTCCTGGGAGTCGTGATTTATGGGACGAATTGTAGCTGCTCATTGTAGCGTGTAAATAATTTAGATTAGTTCGCTATTCCCGGACGCAGGACTCCGCAAAAGGGGGGTTGATTAGAATTGAAATTGCTTTTCCCCGCTTAACTATGTCCTGTTCTCATTGTGCTCTGCCTTGTCCTGTCCACTCCAAGCAGCAAATGTATTTCCCATTTTATGGCCGCTATCCGGGAATTAAAAACATAGCACTGCTTTCGCAGGAAGAGAAATTAATTTCAATTTAAAGGGATGCAATTATGCTTTAATTTATTTTAGAGGTTTGAGCCTTAATAAAATTTTAATTTGCCAAGTCATAAAAATACATCAATTAAATCAATTACTTTTCCTCTTATTATGGTTTCCCTTAAAACTTACACGAGTTAATATAATTTTCTCAGCTAAAATTACGTAAATTTTTGTTATAAAACATTCTGCCAAGTCAATATCCATGACTCAGCTAAGCCGCTTATCAGTTCAGGTAAATTCAACCGTCACAGGCTCATCCGTCCGTAAATGTTTTGCCAACTGCTCAATCTCATAAAAAATGCAGCAGAAAGTCGACAACAAAAAATCCAAGTGATTTACAACTGCAACCGGGAAAGATTCACAAAATCTGCACCTTTCATAATATTACGTTAAAATTGTACCTTTCTTTGCCGGCTTTGTCGCTGGAAAGTCGCAACTTGCAAACCATAAAAAATTGCTGCTGACAACGAAACCTTTTAGCAGAAAAACTCCACACAAAGGCGGCAAAAAAGAGCAGAGAGACATGAAAGCCATAAAACGGCAAGCGGCTAAAAGTGAGAGGCTGCTAGGCTCTGGCACTGGGACAGCAATTTGTAGATAGCGAATTTTTGATTTCCGTAACATAAACACGGAGCCTGTGCCCATTCCAGGCGCATCTTCGCACCGTCGCGCAAAAAATTCGCACAGGTAGCGTGGAAAATTGCTAAAAAAGGCAGATACAACAAAAAGTAAAGAGAAAACAAAAAACTACAGACAGGAATGTGTGGCCTGCTGCAGGGAAAATCGAAAGAAAAGCGCTGGCTGGCCACCAGGGCGAGACCTGCCGCTGGGCGATTCGGTGCCGGTTGCTTCACCCTTCCACGCACTGCGTGCGATGCCAATCCGCAGTGGAATCAGGTCCCGGAATGGACCCCGGGGAGTCCGTGTCCTGGGGCGGCGACGGCTGCTGACGTCAGGTCTAGTCTCTCATACCCTTCTGGTTGGGAAAACTGTTTGTTTGCCTCGTAATTTGCAGCCAGACATTCGCAGTGCAGCGAATCCACAATCCACAAGCCCCAATCCTCAATCCCCGAGCACAAATCATGGGGCGACATGCCTGACATGTGTTGCTGCTGGCCGTTAAGGCGGGCCAGAGTTCCATTTTCGACTGTCTGACAGCGTCTTTGCAGCTCATTAAGCGTTGCCAAAAAAAAAAACAGCGACAGCATCACCATCCCGACAGCATCTGACATGACTTTCTCTGCTCTTCCCCTCCACAGGCCCCAACGGATGCCCCCGAAGACGAGGCCGCCAGACCTACACACGGTTCCAGACCCTCGAACTGGAGAAGGAGTTTCACTTCAATCACTACTTAACCCGGCGGCGGCGCATCGAGATCGCACACGCCCTCTGCCTGACCGAGCGCCAGATAAAGATCTGGTTCCAGAACCGGCGCATGAAGCTGAAGAAGGAGTTGCGAGCAGTCAAGGAGATAAACGAACAGGTAAGGTCTCCAATTTCATATCGGCCTTCAAAGAAGGACCCTGTTTGGTCACCTTAGAGATCCCCAACCGTTACTAACTCCACCTTGTTCTCCCTTCTCTAGGCGCGTCGCGATCGCGAGGAGCAGGAAAAGATGAAGGCCCAGGAGACGATGAAATCCGCCCAGCAGAACAAGCAAGTGCAGCAGCAGCAGCAACAGCAGCAGCAGCAACAACAGCAGCAGCAACAGCACCAGCAGCAGCAACAGCAGCCGCAGGACCACCACTCGATCATCGCACACAATCCGGGCCACTTGCACCACTCCGTCGTCGGTCAGAACGATCTCAAGCTCGGCCTGGGCATGGGTGTCGGCGTGGGCGTGGGCGGTGGCATCGGACCCGGCGCCCTTGGCGGCGGCTTGGGCGGCAACCTGGGCATGATGAGCGCCCTGGACAAGAGCAATCACGACCTGCTGAAAGCGGTCAGCAAGGTTAACTCCTAAGCTGGCCAGCGTCGAGCCAACGAGCCCATCTTCCACCAGCCGCACCACTAGCTCCACTAGCACCACACCACCACCGCCGCATCGCGTCGCGTCCTCGTCTCTGTGTAGCGCGCGAGATAGAAAGCAGAAGATAAACTCGAAAACTAAAATACGTAAAGTTTTACATAGTAAATAGTTGGATAAGTCTACAAACCTACAAGCACACACGCCAGCGAGTGGGTCCACTGGCTCGGGGGCTCTTTGCTGGGGCCAGCGATTGAATGGCAGTGAATCAAAGCTTTCTGAGGTTTCCCCCAGGTGCCGTTGTCTATGTGATAGAGCAGCGCCTGCGATTTCCTTCCAGATCTCCAGTGAGAATTTGTGTATCCGACATTTCTTTCCCCTTCGCCAACGCGCACCACGCGTCCAACCCCCAAAACTGCCAATTCAACCCCCAGCGAAGAGCCCGTGGGCCAGGGGACTCAACGTGGCAATATTAATGGATAACTTGAACTACTTAGAATAGCGGTAAATGCTTAAGGCTGGAGTTAGCAGGAGACGCGATCTATATAAATGAATATTGACGAAATGAGCGATTTTTGATAGTCAGAGAACTCCGTTGCCCGACCTCAATCGGCTCCCAATGGGAGCGGGTTGCGGGGAGGGACCTTGATGGATTCGAGTGTAAAATTATTTGCGACTGCTGTAGGATAACCTAGTTCGATATTTAGAAGCCACGTTCGACTATGTTTGACGGTCTATGAACACCTATATATACGCATATGTATGTGGATATGTGGATATGCTTACAGATTAAAGATACTTACATATAGAGTTATAGAGCGTACGTTTTGTATCTACTACCTATTTATTGGATATTTCTGTTTATGTTTTCGACACAAGAAAACCCCTCTTCCAATGTTTTGTTTAAGCAAAGTCTCTACTGTGTGTTTGCCGTATTTTGTTGTATACCAACGCTTGAATACAATGATTTCTTCAATGCCATATTAATCTTAATTCGACTCAGATCGATTCGATGTAAGCAGCAAAAGTATGCAGAGAATTGCGCAAATATTTCCATAAATACCAGCTGTAAGAAGGAACGGTATGCAACATACCCGAAAGCATAATCACGATTTCAAATACGTAATAATAATAATAATAACGAAACTAAATTTGAGGTAGGAGGAAGCCGAGAAATTGTCGTTTTGCCAGTGACTAAAATTTTAAATTAATCTACGATTAAGCGAAGGCGCAGAGCCTGCCAGTCTACAGAAGAAAAACAAAGGAAACACTGAAATACGTATTAGATTAAGGTTGCAACAACGGAGATAAGGCCAAGTAGGGAGGGATATAGAGGAGGAGACGATCGGCACGAACCCATATACGTAGATTTCAAACTTCCCGAAATTAAATTTACCTAGCATAGTCTCTCGCGGATTGCAAGTTGGATTAAAGTCAAAATCTATTTATTATACACAACCGAGGCGGAAGGCTTACATAGCGCATATTTACATAAACAATTATTGACAAATATATATGAGAATATATTACAAATATATATACAACTATGAACTTATATGTGTATGTATAATACCTAAATGTATGTGTATCTAGTATGATTAACATTAAATGCAGTCGAGTCAGAGTTAAAGTCACGTTTTGCCCACAGCCACACCTCCACCACGACTACCGCATAAAGTCAGCCTCCCCAGACCGCGCCCTTCCTTCTGTATTCAGAGTCCCGTGTCCTTGCAGGACATTCTATCTTTTCCGCGTTCTCCCCTTTGTTTTGCCTTGGTTCGAGTGATATTCACGGGTGGTGACAGCCTTTTGCCTTGTTTCAAGACCTGATTGGAGGAACTCAGTTGTTTCCGTTTCCGTTCCCGCTTCCGCATCCGTTCTGTTTTTGTTGCGTTTCAGTTTGCTTTAAGTTGAATGTTTAGACTATTCGGATGGCCTAGCAAATTAGCGCGTAAATTAATTAATTTTGTTTGACCTTAATGCTAAAACTTTCTGTTAATTTTAGTTTAAGTTTAGTTGTGACGAATTGTGTATTATATAATTTTATGCGATTTTAAAATGAATGCGAAAAACAATTAAAGAACTCTTGTTTCACTCTCCGCCCCCCACTGACTGGGAGGCCACTGCAACGAGATCCCATCCATACGCCGACCTTTTCGATGAGGTCCAAAAACTCGAAATCAAATTAAATATTAGCTAATGGCTAACGAACATAAATACGTAGAGTCAAGTCGATAACTATTTACTAACCAACCCAGTTTACTTACCCAGCCAGAAATATTCGGAATTTGCGATAAATCGAGAGCCCGCATATACGTAACTGAATTATATTCGAACCTTAAAGAGATCCTAGTATTAGATCGAGCGATCGAGAGGTGCGCCCCAATATTTGCCATCTTAATTGTACATAAAACTGCATGAAACTATATTAACGATAAGAAAATGAAATATAAAACCTAGAAATCGTATTTCGTTGCATTCGGAGCGATTTCGGCCAAGGGAATGAATACAATATGAACCATGAGTTAACCAAATGAAGCGAACCCAAAATAAAATCGAAAAATAACGTTAGCATAAGCCAACAACAACTGCAGTGAAGAATTAATAAATAAATCAAATCAAATCAAATGTTTTTAAGGTGATTGTGGGAAGGGGATAATGAGAGTTTAGTTGGTTTTATAATATGGAAGAAAATATGATATTTTATTTCAACAAAGGCTTGAGTTGCAATACAATTTATTGGGCTAGTAATTTCCAATCCAATAATGGATTAAAACATTTATTGTGTGAAAAATCTGGATTCCCTTAAATGAAGCATTTAGGAAACTGTCGGAATATATTTTCTATACTTTTCCAACGACCTATACCATAATTTTAATTACAGATTAAATTATTCCTCTAAGGACATACTTTAATATATGTTCGCAATAATATTTAGCAATTTATGGCTACTCTCAAGTAATCCTAGACATATATCAGAGCATGTGTTTAGCATCGACTCCATTCTATAGATTGCCTAATATATATCCCCATGCGAGGCATAAATTACCACTTGCTAATGCCGCTGCCGCAAATATTAATTAACGAATGCCATTTTGCGCAAATTGATTTCATGGCTCGTCGCAAGGACGATTGGGGTTAGAGTTCGCACTTTTGGCTCAAGGGATAGATGGAGATTCTTCCCCTTTTCGGCCGAAGGATCCTGGCATTTGCAATTTGCAGCGTGGCCACGTAGCCGGAAATGTTGCAAAACGCCTTTAATTAAATTTAATTAATGCGGCAACAACTCAACGGATTATGATAATAAGCGCACACATAACGACGCCATTTACGGCACACACTAGCACATGTGTGCGAATCGGACGAAGGACGTGGGGTGAAGGACGAAACACATAGAAGACGCAGCCCAGACGATGTACCCATCCCATTTCTGGAGCTGCGACAGCGTAATGGCAGCGTCAACGAGCCGAGTCCTTGCCAGAAACGGAAACGGAAGCCCCGGCACCCAAATGGCTCATGTATGCAATAAAAGAAACTTTCGAAAACGTCAAAATGGCGTTCCAAAGATTGCCCCATTGATGGGGACTAGCTTGGTGGCAAGTGGGGTTCCGGACGCCGGCTTCGTTGGGTTCACGGCGGATGTCGCCGCCGCTCTATATGCGGAGCACGTAGAGGAGCCGGGCATAAGTTAACATTTGGATGCTGTTATTGGAAAAGTTTTCCTGTGTCGCTCAAACTGCCCCAAAAGGCGATCATCGACGCGATAAGGCAGCGCTTGAAATATATTTTATTTCATATGCCAGGCGAAATTGCTTTTAAGGCAAACAGTCCCAAGATTAATAAATATTATAATTAGGAGTTAAAAGTTATTTATTTGTATTAAAAATCGAATGCTTTATACCTAAAAGAGTCTAAAATAAAAACAATTTCCTCTCTCGAATTGCTTTTAAAATGAAATCCTTAATTTTTTAAACATAAACCGCACAGTTGGCGGTTCCCATGATTTAAATCCATTGGAACACCCATTCCCGGCATATGTTTTATTCATGCTGTATGACTGTATCCACATTCAGAGCCACCACTTCTCCGCGACTCAGTGATTCGGCGAATCCGCGGATGGCGTTAGTCGGCCGTGTAATTCTAATGCCGAATCTCACATAAACTCTGCCAGTTTATGGCATTCAAATTCGTTGGCACTGGGCTGAGCGCGGCCGAAAAAGAATTACAATATTTTGACAGGGCAAACAAAGCCGCAAATGCCGGGATCTGATCCTACTTTAAATTCCGTGGATGCTGCGGCATATGCGAGGCCTAATTACGGCGCATCGCAGATGTTGCCATCCAGGATTTCTGGATTTCTGCCAAACAAAATGGCTGCCAATTACCGAGCGCATTGCGTTTAATTGAAACATAATTTTGCATAAATAAAACAAGGCATAAAACACCCTGTTCGATGGCGTCCTCACCCCCAGGTCATCAGGACATGGCATTAATGCCATTGCGAAGGGTGTGTTGGGTGTTTCCTTTTTTCTTTTTTTGTGCTTTTGTTTAGCAAGTGCAAAAAGGGTCCCAATCCCAGTCGCAATCGAAAATGGTATCTCTTCCTCAGATGGTACATCTCCCAGCTCACAGCTCATTGCGAATGCACAGGTTGATTTTATCCCCTGGCACTTTTTCCGGAAGAGATTGGCCTCGTCCCCGACTCCATCTCCTTTTCCGGGCAGGGGTAGGCCTTTATGGATATGTTGTCTTTTCCCCACCTCAGCCTTCCTTTTGTTGCAAAATTGCACATCCCGCCGCGCTGCTACATCATAATTTATTAACACGGCGAAATGAGTTTTTGCCTTTTTGCAGGCACTCGTCGAGCGCAATTTTAAAGCCCACGGCGCACATTTATCACAATTTTCACTTTTCAATATGGCAGAGAAAATTGAAAAGTCAAGTTTTCAATTCGATTAATTGAAAGTGGAGGGAGTTGAGCTAAAAAAAATGGCTGCTGTCAAGCAATTAAGAGGTTTTTGGAGGAGTTTTAAGGGGTTTTTATAGCCTTGAAGGGTATTGAAATTTTAGCCAGAAGCTTGCAACTCAGTGAAGGAGTCGTTTCCAACCCTATAAATCATATATAGGCTTGATCAGCATCATCTGCGGAGTCGATCTAGCTATATTTTGGAGAAAAAAAATTTTACAAATTTTTTTGGAAAATTTTATAAGGGGTTACATCGTTAAAATTGTGAAAAATCGAAAAAATTTGGATTTCTTAAAATTTAAAATTCAGTAAGCAGATTTGTTAACTTAAAAAAAACTAGCATAGACAAACTTTCCGAATTGAAATTAATGCATTTTCAACGTAGTTATGATCGACTTAAAATTAGGGATTTTTGGGTTTTCAGTCACCCAAAAAATGTATACACTTTCTCTAAATGGAGATAAAATCTTAGACTATTTAAAACTCAAACTGAAACTAAAAAAGGTCAGTTTACATGATAATTTGCTACTTTTACAGTCCCTGTTGAAGAAAGTAAAATAAAATCTGACTGTCGAAACAAAAACTCAATTCAAAAGCCCAACAGTCTTCAACCCTGGCCCCAAACAAGGACAGAAGAAAGCCTACAGATGGATTACTCCACAAAAGAATGGCAGGACCTGTGTATAAATGCCATTTGCCAGGCAATCCGGCCGCTGTTATGGCGCTCATAAGACCCCATTGACATTAACACTAAATTTCAACTAAGCGATCTTCAATATATTATAATAATCCGCCAGGAAACCAACCGACAAATGTGCACCGCATTCAAATGGAACACAATCTTTTTAATACGAGCACCCCAGAGCCGGAGCCACCCCCAGCGCCAGACAGTCAGCCAACCCTGCACCCAACCTCCCAAATACCAAACAGAAAAAGAAAGCCCACCTTCACCCCGAGGATGGCACTTTCACAGCGGCTACTTAGGACGACTCCCTTGCTTTCCGGGGCCAAGGGCTGAAGGGGAAACTAGCACAGAGGCTGAAACAGAAACAGAAGCGGAAACAGAAACACGTTGCCAACATTGCAAATTTTTGTTGATTTAATAAAATTGCACCCACGAGACTAATTTATATGGAATGTTGGTAGCCGAGAAGAGACCCCGAATTGGTTTCAGGTACAACGCAGCCATCCTTGTTGGCTGCACAGTGGCACAGATTGGTGGGGAAAATGGGGTAAAATATAGAACTAATTTCGAACTAAGTTTACGTGGTTTAATATAGTAATAATGTATTCTGTTATTGCGTAATGTATAAGACTTTATACGTACCTTAAATATAATGTAATAGAATGAAGAAGTTCCTGTTATATGATCTTAAATCTTAATAGCTAACTTCAAGGTTGTTAATTCAAATTTCCTTCTTACAATTTGTAAACAATTTATTGCAGATCCTTGAAACTTTCTCTAAAAAACATGATTAAAAAAATGTGTTACTTGACCTTGGCAGTCTGGAAAACTGCCTGATTCGATGATGAACCTCTGCCGAATTTCATAACCCATAACGCAGCGAGTG